CTGCCCCCCCACCCACACAGCTGGGATTTCTGGCTCCGGCTTTCCTGGGAGGTGGTGTTTGGGTACAAGCAGGCAATGCTGGAGTCTGCGTCAGCAGCTCGGAGTGGGAAAAAATGCTCCCTGGGTTTGGGGGGCAGCCCTGTTCCTGCAAGCCAGGCAGCTCTTGCTTCCCTTCGTGTTTCTGGTTATGTTCTGGGGTTTTTTCCTCCAGGTGGGAGAACCTGCTGTGCACGTGCAAGGGCAGGAACCACTGACAGCATCCATGCTTGCAGCAGCCCCTCCTCAGGAGCAGAAGCAGATGATAGGTGGGTGTCAGGGAGGGGGGCTGGGCTGTGGGGCTGCGTGTGCCTGCGGGGGGATGGGGGCTTTGTGCCAGGGGAACCTGGCTGCTGGGAGAAGCCATAAACCTTTGTGGGGTTGCTCTGTGTCATTGTTTGGACAGTTCTGTCACCCTACCCAAGAGGGGGAATCAGGAGAAGAGACATGACAGCAGAAATGTAATAGAAGAATGTAATGAATTGAAATGACAGCAGATGTAATAGGATAACAACAATGAACTAATATTAACCCCAATGTTAGCATGAGAGACAAAGTTCTGCTCAGCTGCAGACCATGGTGCTGAGCTGTGCAGTCCCAGCAGTGCAGGCTTGAATGCCAGCACTGCCAGCACAACAGCTCCAGTGAGAACCTGGCAGTCCCAGCAAGTGGAGCAGTGTGGCTCAGGTGTGGGACAACAGACCAGACCCTCAGGAAGGCAGCCATGGCTGGAGCCCCACACAACCTTGCATGCGTTCCAATTTACAGTGAGCGTGACGTTTCTGGTAGGAATGCCTGGGTTGGCCAGCTTGGATCAGCTGCCCTGGGCTTTGCTGCTCCTCACCCACAGCACCTGCCTGGTTCAAAACTACCCTCGACCTTGGTCACTGCAGAAACTTGCACATGAGAGCATCTGGTCTCTCTTGTTCTCACAGAAGTGGACTCTGCAGCCTCTCAAAACTACAGTTTTTCTGAACAGAAAAATGATTTTTATTATTCTGTCCCAGCAAAACCAGGACACTCTGATATGCTGCCTTAAAAATACCCAATAAATCCAGGCTGTGTTGGAAGGGTGTGGAAGCTGCAAAACCACTGCCTGGCAGTGAGAGTGTCTGGCAAAGCTCTGCAGGAGAGGCTGAGCTCCAACCTGCCCGTGCTGGGATGGGAGCAGAGTAATTTGAGGAGGGAAAAAGGAGGCATTTGCACAGGGCTGAGGCACCCTGGCAACACTGGTGGGGGATCTGGCAGTGAAATAATCCACGTGCTGGAGGATGGGATTACAGGATGAGGGCAATTAGCATTGTCCCTGGCCAATCAGAGGTGGCTTTGCTCCTCCACACCAGTTGCTTTGTATGTCCACAGGCAGGGCTAATTCTCCTAGTTGTCTGGGGGGTGCTGCTGTGGGACTGGCAGCACTTTGCCTGCAAACACTGTTGTCCTGACCTGCTGGAGCAGGTTTCTTTGTGAGCAACGATTTTTCCCCCACCATCACCACCCGTGGCTCCTTTCAGTTGAAAGGGCAAAGCTGGGAGGGCTGGAGGGTTGGTTTGCACTGACTTGGAAAATGCTGGAGGTCTGGGATGGTGCTGATGTCCCCCCTCATGTCTGGAGCAGGTGAGCGGCTCTACCCTCTGATCCAGGCGCTGCATCCCTCCCTGGCCGGGAAGATCACTGGGATGCTGCTGGAGATCGACAACTCGGAGCTGCTGCTGCTCCTGGAGTCTCCTGACTCCCTACATGCCAAGGTAGGAGGCACTTGGTGCCCAGACAAATCACATCCCAAAGGGCTACCTACCTGCTGCTGCAGGGGAAGGTGACCCTGGCCCAGCAGATGGGTCAAGGACATTGACAGAGCAAGTAGCTGCCTTTTTGTTTTTTTAAAGTAAAAAATGAGCAGGAAGGGCCTTGGTTTGATGGCACCACACCCAGTGCCCCAACACCTGCCTGCCTTCAGCAAAAGGAGGAGCTCAGAGCAGCTCCCCAGGGCCAAGCTCTGAGGTGGTTCCGAGGTGGCCGGGAAGTGAGAGGTGGGAAAAGCAGGGTGGGTGTCACTCCCAGGAAGGAGATGGGGAAATATTCCTTCCTGAGAATAGAAACCAGATTCCTTCCATTTACTACT